TACGCTCATATTTAAATTATCTCCATAGCAAGCCTAGGGTGATCCTATTATGTTTCCCAGCGGAGTCTGTTTGATTCACCACCAATCGGGTCTTTGGTATTTCCCATTTTCCCAGTAAGTCGTGGTTTTCTCTTGCCCTTGCAAGCCTTTGGTTTTTTTACCCGTGTTTGCTTTGCCGTTAGAGTGCGAGTAAGAGTCGATGTATAGCCTTTCTTACTTCTCAAGTATTTGAGTATCCATACTTGGTGTGTGGTAATTTGGATGATTGCTACTCTTGAAGAATTACACCCCGCCATTGGCCTGAGGGATTTGGTAGTTCTTGGGTATTTACAAACTCTTAAAAGCCCAACGCGTGTTGGTAATCCTTGTTTAGAGTCCTTATAGTTTGTCTCTTTTTCTAATCACAAGTCCACCTTCGATCGGGGTTCTGTTTGGGGTTCAATACATATGGGAATCCCCGGTAACTTTGTGGTTTACGCTTGCTCTTGTAAGCTTTTGGTTATTTTACCCGTATTTGCTTTGCCGTTAGAGTGCGAGTAAGAGTCGGTGTATAGCCTTTCTTGATTCTCAAGTATTTGAGTATCCATACTTGGTGTGTGGTAATTCAGATAATTGCCACTCTTGAAGAATTATACCCCGCCTTTGGCCTGAGGGATTTTGTAGTTCTTGTGTATTTGCAACCTATCGAAAGCCCAACATGTTTTGGCAATCCTTGTTAGAGTCTACTTTGACCGGTAGCTTTCTCTTATAGAGTTCACCTTCAATCGGTGCTCTTTGAAGGTCCTGCTTAGTCGGTTCCTTGTTTTGGTTTATCTGTGTTAGTCGGGTCCTCCTTTTGTTAGTTTAGCTAACCTTTCCCGTTAAGAGTCATTCAATGTCTCTTCAAAGTCCAGTTGTCTGGCAACCTTGTTTAGGAGAATGCGTCCTTTCTTGTTGGGGCTTCCTTTGGTTAGTCTCGTTCTTGTGTTCTCTATCAACTCCGAACATTTGTTTCTTGATGCTTGATTTCGCTCTTGTGTGTCTAACTTTGACCAAATATGCATATCTTTATCCCCTGTGAGTTTTCCTTTGATTGGCATCTTTTTCTTAAATCTACATTCGGATGGTACCTTTTGTTAAAGATTCCCCTTCGGCTGGTTTCTTTACCCTTGAAATCCACCTTCGGCTGGTATCATTTGTTAAGAGTCCCCTTCGACTGGTCTCTTTTCATTGTAAGTTCACCCTTGATCGGCGTTCTTTCCTTAGGAATCTACCTTCGGCATAGTATTCCTTGTTAAAGATTCCCCTTCGGCTGGTTTCTTTCCCCTTAAAATCCACCTTTGGCTGGTACCTTTTGTTAAGAGTCCCCTTCGGCTGGTCTCTTTTCATTTGTAAGTTCGCCTTTGATCGGCATTCTTTCCTTAGGAATCTACCTTCGGCATAGTATTCCTTGATGAAGATTTCCCTTCGGTTGGTTTCTTTATCTTGAAGTCCAACTTCGGTTGGCACCCTTTAAAATCCACCTTCAGCTGGTACCTTTTGTTAAGATTCCCCTTTGGCTGGTTTCTTTACCCTTAAAATCCACCTTCAGCTGGTACCTTTTGTTAAGATTCCCCTTCGGCTGGTTTCTTTACCCTTAAAATCCACCTTCGGCTGGTACCTTTTGTTAAGATTCCCCGCCGGCTGGTTTCTTTACCCTTGAAATCCACCTTCGGATGGTACCTTTTGTTTAGAGTCCCCTTCAGCTGGTCTCTTTTCAGTTGAAAGTTCGCCTTTGATTGGCATTCTTTCCCTAGGAATCTACCTTCGGTATAGTATTCCTTGTTAAAGATTCCTCTTTGGCTGGTTTATTTATCTTGAAGTCCACCTTCGGCTGGCACCCTTGAAATCCACTTTCGGCTGGTACCTTTTGTTAAGAGTCCCCTTCGGCTGGTCTCTTTTCTTTGTAAATTTACCCTTGATTGGCATTCTCCCCCCTTAAAATCCACCTTCGGCTGGTATCATTTGTTAGGAGTCCCCTTCGGCTGGTCTCTTTTCTTTGGAAGTCCGCCTTTGATCGGTGTTCTATTCAGAGTCAATGTCCATTTGTGCCCCCAGTAAGTTTGCCTTCGATTGGAGTTCCTTCGTTAGAGCTTTCTTCGGTCATTCTCTTTCTTATGTATGTCTAACCTTGACCTGACATCCAAGAGATTTACTCAGCTAACTACCGCAATCCAAAAAAGTAAAAAAATAGAAAATACAGAAAACCAAAAAAATATAATAATACCTGACTGGCTTCGGAGTGCAAATATTTGGGTTCTTTAAATATTAATCTTCTTCCACCCTAAAGGTTCGAAAGGCTTGCGCCAATCTTACCTTCAGGTTGAAGGCGATTAAATAGGGGTAGCTGTTGCACCCCAAAAATTTCCCTCCTAATTTCTTTTTATTTGGTTTATACTTTTGCATTTAGTTGCATATATTCCATTAGGTCACTAACATAGCATGCATTGCATTCAAAAGAGTATCTGAGGTTCAAAAGATCAAAAGTTATGAAGCTAGGGTTTATAGATAATTTGAGGTGTATATGTTGAATAAGATTGATTATTCCGGGTCTTCTTGGTGTACAAGGTTGTGGAATTAGGATTTTGGTTCATGCTCATTTTTGGACTTCTTCTCCCTCAAGCAATAAGGCTATTATCTTCTGATGAACAACAGGTTGCAGGTTTTTCTTGTCAAGAACTCAAGGGCGTGACCTAGCATACATGGTCTTTGAATCAAGACGTCTCCTCATATAAGTGTGCTTATCATTTGATCAGGCTTAATGACTATGACATGGCATTCATCCACTCTTCAATTAACCAATTCAGGTTTTGGTGAATCATGGTTCAGAGGATCATTGGTTGTGAAGCCAGGGTTTTCTTTTGGTTTGAGGTGTTTATCAAACAAGATTGATTCTGTTGGTTCTTCTTTGTACATTGAATTGTGAATTTAGGGTTTTGATTGATGGTTATTTTGGATCTCTTCCTTATCAAGCTACAAGGACATCTTCCTCAAGGTAAGAGACAAAGCCATTTTCATCACAGTGCATCTCAAGAAAACTGTAGTTCTTATGCGTGGCAATTAAGTGTGTTAACTCATCAACTGGGATTCATTGGACTTACATGTTAAGGCTATCTTGGTATTTATGCCTCCCATGTCTCAAGTTCCATATTCATCTTCAAAGGATTCCTCGATGGATTATTGTTCTCTCGAGTTGTTATTACTTGTAATGCAAGTTAAAGTTGCATGGGGAATTGAGGAACTGATTAGGGAAGTATCCATTCAAGTTTCTTAAGGTGCAAGTGTCATAAGTATTTCCTATAATGCAAGGTATAAGTAAATGAAAAGGTTATAAGGCAGGGTCTCAAGATTAGTTAAGGTTCTCAAGCACATGTTTGCCAAGAGTTAATTCACGCTAGTATTGGAAGAAAAGGATTCATGTGGATTTCTTCACAAGTTAACATTGGACTTATGGTTTCAATTAATTTTGAGGTGCATTAATCAAGAATGTAAATTGGAGGATCCATCCATGGTTGATCTCCTGAAATTCAAGCTACCAAGGCGAAATAACACAACATTTCAAATGTTATTCAAGGCATGAGATCACTTTCAATTTCAAGTGGAAGATTCAAATTCCAAGTGTTTCTATTCAAAATTTCCAGCAAAGTTCTTTATCCAATTTCAATTCAAAGTTCCATTAACCATTTCAAAACCTCTTCATTCCATATTCAACAAAAATTCCAACAAGTTCGTTCATTTACAAATTTACCGAGTCCTTTCAATTTCAGATATCATACACCATTTTGTTCAAATTACATGCAAAACCTGTACAAATTCCATACGTGTCCATTACATAGTTCAATTATAAGATGTATTCAAATTCATTCAAAACTACAAGAAAACTTAAACCTAATAAAGTCTATCCTAATCTCAATCATTCTCCATGTTCTAATGTTTAACTAAAGCTTCATGCAGAATGCCTTGTAATCTTACTTTTCAGCCATGCCTTGCTAGTGGGCTTCAAGTTCACGCTTCTTTTGAGGGCCAATCCCAGCTTGCACAAAGAGGGTTCATCATGAATTACACCAAAATATCTAAATCTTCCAAACCATTCTCCCCTTTATGCCCTATAAGAACGAACTTGTTGCATTCTTCAAACATCTAGCCCTGCATTAGAAAATCAGAAGATATAAAAGGAAATATCAGAAAGCAGAAAACCAGAAAAATAATTAACTGAATCGCAACAGAATCTCCTAACTGCCCCATGTAACAGTTACCCTAATTAACCTTCCAAAGGGGCTCCAATAAAAACCAGTTCAGAAAAGAAGAATCTCGAAGATGCCATCTACACTATGCTAAAATAGTTGTCATGATAAATCCTATTTCAAATTTACAGTTAGCATAAAATACTAATAGTCAGCCATGCACATTTAGAATTTAACAGTTCATGACCATTCAAAACCAGGATATATACCAGAATAGAACCACCCTGCTGCCAAACCTTGTACCAGACCATAACTACCCTGCATTAACAAAATCAGCTCATTCCTAACTCCTCTAAATTCAAAACAGCATTGCTAACAGGAAACAGAAAGAGGCTAACAGAAATGTCCAACTAATTTCATAATCTCTAACTGTTTTAGCCTACTTCTAAAAATCCATGTAACCATCTCCTAACAACCTATAATTGTTTAACAGAATTCCCTAACTATTTAAAAAAACAAAACTAACAGCCCATAACAGATTCCAACTAGCCCTCCTAACCAACTTCTAACAAACTTCGTAACAAACTTTTAATAGAAGGGGAAATAGAAGAGAAGGGAAGGAATCAGAGTATATTAGATATAACGAAAAGAGATAGGAATTGAGGGGGCATCAATCATTGATACAAAGCAAAAAATAGAAAGACTCACCATTTTTCTCTCTCTTTGGAAATCTGCAAAAAAAACCATCGCCTTTCTCAACTCGATTCTTATATCATCTTCATCTTCACCATTTTTTCTTCACCAAGATGGGTCACCAGAACCTGTAAGAAAGTTTCTTTGCACTTCTCTGAGAGCTTCAGCATCAGTTCTCCACTTCTCGTCATCAATATATCTATCATCTTCTGTAAATCCGTCAACCTCAATCTTCAATCGTAACAGCACCTTCAATCTTCGATCTCTCAAGAACTCGTCAATCTTCAACGTTATCTTCATCATTCTCATCATCATCAATGCTGCATGAACAACATCATCACGATTCAATTGTATATCATCATCACACCCTACAACAGATTTCAGATCTCACAAAATTGCAACGATACAGAAACGAAAAAGAAGATTCATGAATGAAGTTGTAACTAAAATCGAAGATGCGCCGGTCTTTCTCTGATAAGTAAGCCCTAACCTCCACCATTGTTTTCAGTATTCTCTGTGTGATTTGAAGCGTGAAATCACGATGGCTTTGAAGCAAGCGGACACCGTCGGAAGGGTAGATGATGTGCAGAGCATGAACTGGGATGATCAGAAGTCGCGTTTGCGGCTGAAAATGTGAGGAGTTGAGGACGGCGGTGGAGTTGTTGATCGAGCCGCTGCATTTTGGAAGAAGAAGAAGAAGAGGGAAATCCTCTGAGCATGAATTCAGAGGGTCCTATAACATTAGACCCTAAAGCCACTTTCAGGCCGGTGAATTTGGGTTGTTTAATTCTTGGGCCGAACTGGGTTATCCTTAGGCCTATGGATATCTTCTCTTTGGTACAAGTGGGTTGCTAAAGATGGTTTATTTTGGAATCCAATTTGCAAATAAAAAAGGCTGGTCAGTTGTATGATTATTGGACCATATTGTACATCCCTGAAGCCCACAACCACTATTTTTTTGGTATTCTGATGGCTTGTAGCAAAAATCTTCATGGACTGGGCTTAGCACCAGAATTTGCAGCATCGTATACATATTGCACCCTTTTTTTATTATTTGCATTTTTGTTTAGATATTTTGATAATTTTTCTATTTGAATTTCTTTACATGATAAAAAATAATAAAATCAAGTATAAAAATTTGTTACATTTTCCTTATTTTTGATTTTAGGAATTAATTCATGGTTATCCGATTATTCAAAATTTGTGATTCACCTTTGCTTGTTGAGATTTGAGTCTTATGCAGGTTTATTATGCGGCTGCACTTGAGATTTTGATTGCGATTTATTTTTGCATCGATGATGCTTCGACACTTATTCTGAGCATTCGGTTTCTGACTCTTTTCTTTGATTGGTGAAGCTTTTCGTGAAGATCGTCGGATTTCTTTGTTTTGATGCGCTTTGCTACGGATTGATATTTGTTTGGTATTTTCTCTTGTTTATCTCATTTTTGCACTTTACTGCTTTCTAGATATCATGAGAAGTAGGAAATAAAGAGCGTGCGCTCAAAGTCGTTGTTTAAAGACCTGTAGCAGGCATTTCGCACTTCATTTTCTATATGTGTTGTGCTTGTGTTTGTTTCCTTGGTTGTTGATTGATGAGTCACTCAATTTAGAAATTGAGATCACGTCTTCGCTCTCAGTGCATGCTCCCTATAGGATTTCACTGCTTTCCTTTATTTCTTGTTGATCGATGAGTCACTCAATTTAGAAATTGAGATCACGACTTCGCTCTCATTGCATGTCCCCCGTAGGATAGTTTTGTTAGACTTTCTTTGGCATGCTAACCTAGATAGGATATCTCTAGGTGCGGTCTCTTGAGCTTATTGGCTTGCTTGCTTGACTTCATCTTTGTGTGCATGTTTTGAGATGATGTACCCTTGGCATGTTCCCTTAGGAGCTCTCGATTCAACTATAGATGATGATTCGAGATAGACATAGTTTTAGGTGATAGACCATTGCTATGATCCTATAGGATTTCTTGATTCATCTATAGATGATGAGTTGAGATAGACATTAGGATTGTTATCCAAGCATGTCCACTTAGGGTAAGGATTTCCCTTCAAAATTCAACCATAGGACCACCATTGTATGATAACATTAGGGATAGATTTGGGTTAGTCTCCCTTAGATGTTTTCTTTTCCTTTGCATCCTTGCATTTAAAACAAAAACTTTCTTTTTCTTAGAAAATGCATAAAACATCTAACAACTTTCAAATCCTTCTTTAAGGTAAAAAAATACCAATCAATGCAAACTCTCTTGTGCCTTTGGGATTTTCTTTCAAACTCTTTTCAAAATAACATGTTAATTCACTTATGTGCTGAAGCGTGAGTCTCCAAAGGTCAAGCTGCGGCAGAAGGCGAAATTAATAATATTCATTAAAAAATACAAACCAACAAAAACATGTGAGCCAAACTACGGCTGCTCTGATTCTTTAAAAGGGATACGTAGGCATCAGGGTAGGGCCCGAACGAGCACAACTTTTATTTTCTCTACATTCTTTTCTCCTTTCTTTTGCATGCATTCCTTGTACAACTTAGATATAGATTCTTACACACCCATAAGATAGACAACAAGAGTGGATACCGTAGAGTACTACGGGCGTGTGGGGTGCTAATACCTTCCCCTCGCGTAACAGACTCCCTTACCCGATCTCTCGGTCGTTTGATCGCGATTTCACCCTTCTTAGGTTTACTTGATGTTTACCTTTCCCTTCCCGTGGGATAAAAACATTCGATGGCGACTTCATTGATTTCATTATCAGTTGATTATTCAGCCGGTTGTTTCAGTGATCTTTGACTTTTTGGAAGGCTCAAAATGTCCTCTTAATTTTCTCTTTTGATCATTTTTGCATTTGGAGACTTTATCTTAATGTAAGTTTCCTTGACAAAAAGTGTCTTTTTGTTGACTTTTGAAATGACTTATAATGTATGGGCTCATATCTTTCAAATGAAACACTTTTTGGAATTGAGCACAAATACAAAGTTTTAGAGAATTAAATTTCCTTCAAAATGGGTTTTGGTTGGGGAAAAATTGATGACGCATGTGAAAGTTATGCTTGGTAAAAGTTTAATTGACTTCTCCTAAGGAAACCCTAATTTGGAAACTTTTGACTTTTGATGATTTGAGGGATTTTCTTGAGGAATCATGATCAAACCTTGATAAAATTATTAATATCACTTAAAAATGTTGATGTTGACCAAAAATATTGAAGTGTGACTGTATATTAACCACAATTGACTTTTTACCCAATACAATTTATTTTCAATCATCTGAGCAATTGACTGAGAAAACTTGTGATGCATGGCTTGAAACTTGACATGAGCGTTGTTGAAGTCCTATTGAGAACCATGGAAACCACTTGAGACACTTGAAACTTATTCTTCTTTGTGAAAGATGAAACCCTAGTTATGGACCCATTGCCTAGGAGGAGAATTTGTCTGATCAACTCTTGAGCATTCTTGAGAAAATGAGGACCTCATGAGAAAGTCTTGAAGAAAAATGGTAGGGAAAATTTTGGGGTACAACAGCTACCCTTGTTCAATATTCTTAAACCTGGAGAGTTAGATTGGCATGTCTGCCATTCGTGACTTGAAGGTAGAAGATGATTGAACACTTAAGTGCCCATAAATTTGCTCTCGCATGTGCACGAAGTAATACTGTTAGTTGATTATGTTGAGAATGGGCTTAAAGATGTCATTTGGAGAGGTGACAGAGAGTCGTTGGAGATGGGTTTATAGATGCCATCCAGGATAGTTATTGATAAGAAAATCAGACTAATTATACGCTCGACTTTGTCTTTGAAGATGTATTTGGAACGAGTCTATGCTCGACTTTATACAAAATAATATCAGAATAAATCCATGCTCGATTTTATCTGAATCAGAAGATGTTTACGCCCGACTTAAACTAGAAAAGGTATTGGAATGAGTCTTCGAAGGAACTATTTTTTAGAATTCACTCTCTGAAGGAAATGCTTGTCAGATTAAATCTCTGAGAGAAATGCTTTTGAGAATAAATTTCTGAGGTAAGTGCTTTTCAAAGTTCAGTCTCTGAGGAAGTGCTTTTATGAATTCAGTCTCTGAGGAAGATGCTTGTCGAAATTCAGTCTCCGAGGAAATGCTTGTCGAAATTCAGTCTCCGAGGAAATGCTTATCGGAATTCAGTCTCCAAGGAAATGCTTGTTGGAATTCAGTCTCCAAGGAAATGCTTGTCGAAATTCAGTCTTTGAGGAAATGCTTTTCAGAATTCAATCTCCGAGGAAATGCTTGTCTGAATTCAGTCTCCGAGGAAATGCTTGTCGGAATTCAGTCTTTCAGGAAATGCTTGTCGGAATTCAATCTTCGAGGAAATGCTTGTCGGAATTCAGTCTCCGGGGAAATGTTTATTGGAATTCAATCACCCAAGAAATGCTTGTTGGAATTCAGTCTCTGAGGAAATGCTTGTCGAAATTCAGTCTCTGAAGAAATGCTTGTTGGAATTCAGTCTCCGAGGAAATGCTTGTCAGAATTCAGTCTCCGAGGAAATGCTTGTCAAAATTCAGTCTTCGAGGAAATGCTTGTCAAAATTCAGTCACCAAAGAAATGCTTGTCATAATTCGATCTCCGGGGAAATGCTTGTCGAAATTCAGTCTCCAAGGAAATGCTTGTCGGAATTCAGTATCTGAGGAAATGCTTGTCGGAATTCAGTCTCCAAGGAAATACAGGTCGGAATTCAATCTCTGGGGAAATGCTTTTCGAAATTCAGTCTATGAGGAAATGCTTGTCGGAATTCAGTCTCCAAGGAAATGCTTGTCGGAATTTAGTCTCCAAAGAAATGCTTTTCGAAATTCAGTCTTTGAGGAAATGCTTGTCGGAATTCAGTCTCCAAGGAAATGCTTGTCGGAATTCAGTCTCCGAGGAAATGCTTGTCGGAGTTCAGTCTCCGAGAAAATTCTTGTCGGAATTCAGTCTCCAAGGAAATGCTTGTCAAAATCCAGTCTCCGAGGAAATGCTTGTCAAAATTCAGCCTATGAGGAAATGCTTGTAGGAATTCAGTCTTCGAGGAAATGCTTGTTGGAATTCAGTCTCCAAGGAAATGCTTGTCGGAATTCAGTCTACGGGGAAATGCTTGTCGGAATTCAGTCTCTAAGGAAATACTTGTCGGAATTCAGTCTCCGAGGAAATGTTTTTAAGGAGATGTTTTTCAGAGTAAATCTTTGAAGGAAGTCATTTGGTCATGCAGATGGTCACCCCGTCTTGTTTCGGGAATTAATCTACAATTATCTTTCATTGGTAAACATGGCTTGTTTCGGGAATTCATACCACCTAGTCTTTGATAGTTTCCCTAGCTCATTTCGGGAATTAATCTTTAACCTGTTTGAAAATTACTGATGATATTCATCTTGTTTGTAGACTTTACCAGAAACGACAAAGTTAGTCTTTATGCAATGTCATGACGTATGTAATGTATTGCGTAATGATGTTCTCAAAATAAATGAGAGTGTGTTATATATGTTTCGTATGCATCTATGATATTTCGTAAATGATGTGTGAGATATAAGATGTCGCTGATAGCAATGATAGCTTCGTATAACATCTTTGGCCAGGGAAAATAAATCCCTGACTGTCGTTGGGGATAAAGAGTATGAATCTTCAATCTTGTTTAGAATGTCTTCACTGGAGATTCCCGTTTTCTATTTTGGAGGATACTCCGCTGGGGGATTCCTACTTAATGTTTTGGAG